CTTGATTCCATTAGAATTTATCTTTACTAGTCAAGCGTGTAAGTGGAGCTGCAACTCGTGAGAAGTCTTTGATGAAGATCCGATAGTAATTGGCAAATCCCAAGAAACATTGGACATCTCTTACAGTCTTTGGAATCTTCCAATCCATGATTGTTTGGACTTTCTTAGAATCCATCATAAGACCATCATTTGAAATGATGTATCCTAAAAAGTCAACTTGAGTAGTGTGAAATACACACTTTTCCATCTTGGCGTACAATCTTGCATCTCTGAGTTTTTGTAATACTTGACGAATATGTATTTCATGTTCTTCAACATTCTTAGAATAAATCAGGATATCGTCTAGGTAGCAGACGACAAAATTATCTAAGAATTCACGAAATACATCATTCATGAGATGTTGAAAAGCAGCTGGTGCATTCGTGAGTCCAAAAGGCATGACATTATATTCAAAATGCCCGTACCTGGTCCGAAACGCAGTCTTCCATTCATCTCCTTCTTTGATCCGTACTAGATTATATGCTCCTCTTAGATCTATTTTTGTATAGATCTTAGCTTGATTTAACTGGTCAAGGAGTCCTGATATCAAAGGTAATCGATACCTGTTCTTGATTGTGATCTTGTTGAGTCCTCGATAGTCAACACACATTCGTAAAGATCCATCTTTTTTCTTTACGAATAGAATTGGAGCTCCTGCTGGAGATTTTGAATGGCGTATGAAATTCTTCGCTAAATTCTCGTCAATATATGTCTTGAGTTCAGCCAACTCATCTTGCGATAAACTGTAAATTGGTCCAAATGGTGGCTGAGTTCCTTCCTTGAGATCGATTGAACAATCGTATGGGCGATGCTCAGGAAGAATATCTGCATTCTTTTTCTCAAAAACGTCTTGATAATCCTGATATTGACTTGGAATGCCACTTGAAGTCTTTACGCTTTCAGAAATAGGTGCAGCATAAATATCAAAAGTTGATCCTTCTTTTGCTGCGTGTATAAATGCTTTTGCACCTATAGGTGCGAGTTTTACTATACTAGAGTCATGGTTTTTTACTTGGTTAATAGAACTGTTACTAATGCTCTGAGGAAAATCAAGTTTACGAGAAATCCAATCTATTCGAGGATTATACTTTTCTAACCATGATAAGCCTAAAATTACTGGATTAGAGGGAGATCTAATTATATTAAAAATTACGCAACTACTATGACCATTTATTACTACATCTACAGGAAGTGTTTCGTGAGTTACATCTCCAGAAGACAACGGACGACCATCTATGACTTCTACGTGTACAGGTTTAGTTTTTTGTATTAATGATATTCTATGACATCTAGCAAATTCTTCATCTAAAAAACAAGATGAGGCTCCTGAATCTACCAAGGCAGAGGCTTTGTAATTATTAGGTCCTAAACGCACATCTATTATAAAACAAGGAGATGGTTTTGAGGAGAGGATAGGACCTTTATTAGAAGTTGTACAAGATTCCAGCCGCACGGTCCCTATTGTAGCTGGACGTACTCGTTTTCCGACATACTGTCTTCTTTGACAGCCGTACTCCTCATTTTGTAGTTACGTCGCTTCTTTGGACAATGTTGAGCAGTGTGCTTAGGTTCTCCACAATATAAGCACAATCCTTCTTGTCGACGACGAGACTTTTCTTGCTCAGTAAGAGGTTTGAAACGTACCGCATCAATTTGCATATCCTCTACTTCCGAAGGTATGTGTTGAGGAGACGTCGGTGTTGCCATTGAATTGTAGTAACGTTGAGGCCCACTTGTGCGACTCTCGGATCGAAATTCAAAAAGTCGATTGTCGCACTTCACAACAAAGTCAATTGCTTGACTCAATGTTTGAGGATCAGGTAAATTAAGCATCAATTTCTTTACCTCATATTGTAATCCGTCGAAAAATTGACTCACAAGTGCGGCATCATCCCACTTGATATCAGTTGCAAGTTGTCGAAATTGCGAAGCATATAATGTTACTGATCGATTGCCTTGTCGCAAAATACGGATCTTGTTGGTTGCAACACGAATTGCATCATGTTCTCCAAACATGGATCGAAACTCCGCCAAAAAAGCCTCGAGATTATCCAATATTAGATCTCGTCGTTCAAGAAAAGATGAAAACCATGACAATGCTGAACCTGAAAGAAGTATACCAATGAATCTTACTTGTGACCCTGGAGTTGGATAGCTCTGGGGTTGAAGTTCAATCACTAGTTGGACCTGATTGATGAATCCTCGAAACTTGGATCTGGTACCATCAAACTTCTCGGGCAAGGCAACTCTCGGTTCTCTAACACTCGAAGGGTATTCCATTCTGGGAGAAGGGACATGGTTTGGTGCAGATGTTGAAGCAGCCCCAATCATCTCTATATCTTCACTTCCTACCATTCTTGTTGCTCCTTGTGGTGGTAAATTGAGTTGATGCATCGCAAGCATTAACTCCCTCAATTGTTCTTGCATCTGTGCCATTGCACTCTTCATTTCAACAAGCTCTGCCATAGTAGCACTTAGAAAAGAGAAGATGTCTAACAACGCTCAAAATAAATAGAAGAGAGGAATTGATAACAAAGAAAATACTAAGAACAATATCAGTTTAAAAGAGGGTAATCCGCAACTTCTAATGCGCTTATGTCTTATCAAGAAAAAGAGGTAATCCACTCTTAATCAAGAAAAGACAAAGCTCTGATATTGTAAGTGTACTCTTGTCAATCTCTCAAGGACAAAGACTCGATGAGGAAAAATATACACCAAAAGGCTATCTCGATATAATAAGTCAAAATATAAACAAATAGGTATATTAAAAGGAAACTGGAATGGCTATTGCCACAAGACAAGAAACTAAAGACTCTTGAACCAGGACTAGAAGCAAGAAAGGAGTTGACAAGAGTGAAGAGGGCTTCACTCTTGCCTCTATATATACTATCTAACTAGAAGCCACGTGGCGATGTTCTATAAGACCTCCAATATATGTTGACTTTCTAGGCCACATGCCTTTGCTTGCAAGGCAAGTTTTCTATGGATGGACCACGTAGTTAGCTTGTTCTTTAAGCTTCCAACATGCGTGGCACATGGCTAACTTGTTGACCAAGTTTCTAACCTAAAAGTCAACTATAGACTCCTATAAAGTCAAAGCAGCATCTATGAAGCTTCTAAGAAGCTTGTCTAGAAGATATAACACAATTAACCTACTTTTACATACTTTTATCTATTCATATAGGTAATTATATGTATGTCCGTGACAATATATAAGAAACTTGTCTTGCAAATTAAAACATATGCTTTATAAAATGAACACGTATTGGAGATCCTATAGAACATTGTCATATAGCTCCTTGTTAGATAGTAAATATAGAAGCAAGAGTAAAGCCTTCTTCATTGTTGTCATTGCTTTTTTAGTCCTTAGTCTTGTTTTAAGACTTTTTAATATTCTTGTCTTTAGCAATAGCCATTCTAGTTCAATATATTACTATCTTTGAGTGACTTTTTAATCTTTTTGAGTGATACAAGAGTGTATTGAGTTTTCTTTCTTTGAGATTCATGTCCTTGACACATCCTTTCCTATGACCTAGAAGAAGCCATGATCTAATTTGCGACTTAAATTCAATTCTTTTCCAAGTTCTTTTGAGATACTTGTCACATAGTCTTATATGATTTTTGGTAATTGATTGTCTTCCACAATATATGCTATTATGACTTTCTTTTAAAAATAATCCATTTCTTTTGGTACTTTGGCCTCGTTTAATATCACCCAAACAACACATTTTGTTAGTATGAAATCTTTTTTGCTACAAAAAAATCTTTTAGAAAGGATCTTAGTTGGTGATGCTCGCATGGGATGGATATCTATGAGCCGCTCCATTTGTGCAATAGTAGCAACCAATTCAAATTCCAATTATTCTTTCTTAGATCTATTCTTCTTGTACTACACCTTCAATGTTGTAAGAGACAGGGATGCATGTGTCAACTTGCTTTTTAGTATCACAGCATAGGTCGTGGTTATCGTCATGTTGTCTCCTCACACTATTACAATCCCACTACAAATGGTACTATAGGCACTATGACTCACTTTAGTGCAACCTCCACTGCTAGGCTCAACTAAAACCCTAATCCTAAAAAAGTCCTATCCTCAATTGATATCTTACTTGCTTAAATTATTGTATATAAATTTATCAAATCCTAACACAATGTGCCAGGGTATTGAGCATTGGACCTCGCAATCGCTCGCAGGCCAGATATGTGGTATTACACATCCTCGCAGTAATCCAAGCGCCAGTGAGGAGGAGCTTGCCGGATCTTTCCCGTTTTTTTTTTTTTTGTTTTGTTTTGTTTTGGTTTTTTTTTTTTCCATTTATGCACCTACTGCATATATGCTGAAATGCTTAAGTTATCTGAAATGGGTTGTCTACCTTACGCACAGCAAAGGAGCCCCATCACCATCAGCCGGCGTGCATGCGCTCAATGGATACAACACAGAGATGTCGGTGTGACAGCAACACTGAAATTGAGCACTGCTGAGGAGATTGAAGGCCAAGCGGTGGAGCTACTCCTTGACAACGACCAGGATTCGTCCGCAAGACGCAGATACCCGGACAGAAGTGTTCGTCATCGGGTTGCTCCGCATCTGCGTTCGCAACTGTGTTCGCAACGGCATCGCAATGCGGCACTGCAGTAGATGAGTGTGTTCATGAACCATTGGAAATCGTGAATGGCGACATCCGCGAGACATCAGTGAACGTGAGCCGTCTGCGATGCTTTCGCGGCCTCCTGTCCCGACCCCTCCGACGTCTATCTGGACATGCCCTGATGCCGTGAGTGGGTTGGGGTCGAAACTGGGCATGAAGCTTCTGGTCGAGTATATTTTGCTTGGGTGTTGGGGGATCGTTCGCTTTGTTTCATTGGACAGCTGTTAATAGACAAGCCTGCCGAGCACGGCATTGACAGTGGGGCCCACCTTCATGAACAACGCAAGGGTCCTGCAGCTCTCGAGACCTCGAGAACTTATTCGAGATCCTGGGATCCACCATGAAAGTGCGACACAAGGAATTCGTTCCGTGGTGACGGCGCAGCGATTTCGTGAGGTATATTAGGAGGGGTGGGAGAGAGTGGTGGAGTAGAGTCAGCGTAGGGATTGAAATTGGATACGGTTCGTGTTGCGCCTATTCGCGCTGCTGTCTGAGTTGCATGACGGGGAACGTGACGTGGGGAGGACCTGGTGTCGCATCAGCCGCTTGTTTGAATAGGACCTTGTGTCGTTGGGATTAGCGTGGGCGGGAATTGAGAGCGCAGGCGTGAGAATTGCGGTAAGCTTCGGAGCGGGGACGGTCGTGATTGCAGGTAGAAGAGGTTGTAGAGGATTTCTTGAGAGGCTCGTAAAAGAGGGAGAGAGAGAGGGAGCAGAAGAGAGTTGAAGAGCGTGAGAGCTGGATTGAGGTGGTTGTGGAGCGATGCAGTCGCTGATGAAAGTTGTGCTTGCACCTCGAACGGGGTCGGCGACGGAGAGCGAGAGGAGAAAGAAGAAGAAGGAGGATGTTTTGCTGGAGCGCAGTTTGTCGTCTTCAACTCGGTATCCGTCAATGCCGCGGTACCCGCTGTCGCCCTTGCATGGCGAAGTTGACGTCTCGGAGATTCGCAAAGCAAATTTGAAGGTCTGTAATGCAACCCTCACAAAGTGCGGGTTTAGCAGCGGCATTGAAACGCCGGAGTGGCGTGGTTGTGGAGTTGTTTTGGAGTGATTTTCTTGCCTTCTTGTTTACGCCATATCTGGGCAGGTTATCGCCCGGCCTGGGAGGAGGGGAGATCTCTGTTGTGAGTCCCTGTTAAATTCCAGTAGGAACGGTCGTGGTGAAAGTGCTTGGCGCTGGAATAAGTCGGGGATTTCGCGAGAAAAGCAGTGATGAGCACTTGAACATGAGAGCGATGAATGGGAGCAGAATTCCTCAAAGGTCTGTTGCATAGGAGAACCCCAGGGGCCGAAAGCGGATCGTGCTAGCAACGTTTAGCGGCGCCGCTCGACTTTCTGATCCAGTGGTAGAACGTGCGTGGGGCTGGTTCAAATGGGACATGTGTGGTTTGGCAATTGATTCCACGGGGTCGTCATTTCATATGTATGTGTTGATTGGGTGTACAGGTTACAGGGATGGAGTGCGCAGCGTGTGCGGGGTCCATCGAGAAAGCCGTGAAGAGGTTGCCCGGCATCGAGGAAGCAACGGTGTCAGTATTGCAGAACCGGGCTCAAGTTGTGTACAGGCCCGCCTTCGTACAGGTACAATTCCTCCCACTCCGTGTTGTTCAGAATTCCGTCGGGACCGGTGAAGCGGGGATCGTTCGCGCAGCACGCGGTGCAATGCGGACGGCAAGAAGATGCTTGTAGCAATGTTGTAGGAAACGACTTGAAAGGTGTGCAGTGAGGGGTGCTCCAAAACTTTGCATGTGGTGAGAGGGTCAATTTAGCAATCCGCCAGATGGACCGTGGCAGCTAGGAGCTCAGAAGTAAGATGGATGTGGGCAGCGGTGGAATTGGAAGGCATTGAATCTTACACGGGGAAAGTGGAATCCAGGAGGAAAGCATTCGGGAGGCGATCGAGGACGCGGGGTTCGAGGCGGAAGCAATTGTGGACGATGCCGGTCAACGGAGCGGGAGCATCAGCCGTTTTCGTATCAAGGGCATGACGTGCACCTCTTGCTCAAACTCCATAGAGTCTTCGCTGAAAAAGCTGGATGGAGTGCAAAAGGCCGTAGTAGCCCTCGCCACGGAGGAGTGCGAGGTGAGGCACGATGCTGGAGTGATTTCTCACGTCCAGCTTGCCGCCGCCATAGATGACCTGGGTTACGAGGCCGAGCTTCTGATCGCAGGTGAAGAGACGAACAGAATCCGTCTGCAGCTGGAAGGCGTGACGGCTGCAGCGGACTTCCAGCTCGTGAAAGAGATGCTGGTGGCTCTGTCCGGCGTGACATCGGTGGATTTGGATTTCAGCAATGCGATGGTCACAGTATCGTACGAGCCCGACAGGGCTGGGCCGAGGACTTTCATAGAGACCATCGAGCAGGCGGGAGTTTTCACAGCGAAGTTGGAGGCACCTCGTGGTCGTGGGAGTCACGACAGGGGCTTGGAGATCCAGCACCACAAGAAGTACTTCCTTTGGAGCTTGGTGTTCACGGTCCCAGTGTTCTTTTTGTCCATGGTGTTTATGTACATACCAGGCATTATGGAGGGTCTGGAGCACGGCAGGCTGAACGGCTTGTCGATCGGAGCTTTGCTGCGGTGGATTCTTGCGACTCCGGTGCAGTTCGTATC